AAACTTGGATGGCCCACCTATGTTTCTACTTGGGCCTTAGCTTGCTTATTGGGCCTAACCTAATTCTATATGTATGCTAACCCGTTTCTATTCTTGCCTTGTGTGAGAGACTTGTGCCTTAAGAGAGAAATCGAGACCTTGCTGTGTGCTCTTCGTCCCTTTTCTTCTCCTTTGCCTTTGTGGCTAGATTGTGGTTACAATACTCTCTTCACCATTAGACAAAACCTGTGTGGGCAGTAGAAACTGTGGAGCAACCGTTTGTGAGAGGTTGGGGTAGTGGTTTTCTCTTGTGGTGTTTCGATTGGAGGTTTCTGAGCCCGGTTTTCAAGATGTTAAACGGTGTTTTAACTTCACATTAAAATTCTGTAGACATTCCGTGAAACACCTTCTGTACGCCCAGCATGCAACACCCGTGTTGTAAATCAGATAGAGCTTGAATTTTTTCGAGAGGAACTTCAAAACCGTCTTTCGAGCAACTACAATGTACTTTTGAAGGAAAGAAAGACCCCCATGTCCCTCTTGAATGATCATCAGAAGGTTTGAAGCTCTTCTTCTCTGTGGATCGCTGGTTATATTTATAAGGAAACTTTAAATTTGTATGTGCAAGAGTCTTGTCTTACATCTTTTTGTAGCTGATTTCATAATTTTTCTTTGATTCCCCAAGCAAGCAAGAGTTCACCTTCTCGACACAGAGCCTTTTGCTGATGCCTTTGGACCTAAGACAAAGAGGAAGCAGCCAAAGCTGGTGGCATTTGATTATGAATCATTATTGAAGAGTGCCGATGGATCTCAAGGTAAATATAATTCATCTCATGTTCATGTTCATGTTCATGTCCATGTTCTTCCGATCTGTCACGTGTGTCCTGTAGGAGGTTTTGTTTGACTTGATACAGCAGGAGCATTGTTTATATCGTTAGAGAGGTCAATATGAACAGTAGAATCATAATTTGAAATTCAAGCTAGTAAACTTGGATATTTTTCCTTGAACAGGTTTGCAAGGTTGCACCAATTCCTGGAGAGACTAAAGTGTGGTAGTACATAATTCTCACAAAGAGAATCTTTCTCATCGATTGCCCTGGAGTTGTTTATCAAAATAGTGACACGGAGACTGATATTGTCTTGAAGGGCGTGGTAAGTAAATCATTGAGTTTGTTGACGTACCACCCTATATTTACTGATCCCGATCTTTCGTTTATGACAAGACTTGATTTCAGTTGAATTCCCGTTAAGAAAAAAATTTGTGACTATTTACTAATGGTGTACTTGCAAAACAAATTTTAATTTTAATTGGATTTTAATCGGTACCATACAGGGTCTAATTTATAAATTTGCCAAGTGAAGGCTTAATAGTCAACGCTCAACCTATTGTCTCAATATTAAGCAAATTAATCCCATAAAAGGTTTCGTCTTTCACCTCCCACCTAACCAACCAACCAAATGAAAACCCACTCATACATGAGTGCTCCATGTCGTCCCTTCCTACTCCCCCTGTTAGACGAATTGAAGTTGATCCTCGACTTCTAAAAACAAGCCAATTAATCTCATAAAGGTTTCAAGTGTCACATCCCACCTAACCTCCAAATGAAAACTCAATCCTACATGAGGTTCAATCATGCTCCACGTCGTCCTTCCCACTCCCCGTGCATTAAGCTTGCCTTTTTCTCATTTCTTGCTATAAATCCACGCATCACCATCATCAACTTCAATTCGAGCTGAACAAAATGCAAGTCAAAATTCAAGAAACTGTCACGGTTCAACCCGCCACACCACCATTTGATCACGATCATGATCATGTTCTTCCTCTCTCCCACCTCGACACTGATCGAAACCTCCACGTCACTTTCCGTTACCTTCGCGTTTACGCCGCCAACGACAACCACCCTGCAGAGCCTTTCCACGTCATCACCGCAGCGCTATCCACCGCCCTCGTTAGCTACTACCATTTCACCGGAACTCTCCGCCGACGCCACCTAGACGGCCGCCTCGAGCTGCATTGCCAATTGGGGAAAGGAGTGCCGGTCATTCGCGCCGCGGTGGAGTGCTCGTTGAGTTCGTTAAGCTACCTTGATGAACTGGATGAAAAGTTTGTTGAGCAGTTAGTACCGGACCCTGATTCGGACGAGGTTATGACCCGACCCATGATATTGCAAATGACGGGTTTTGAGTGCGGGGGTTTTGTTCTAGGGGCAGCCATACACCATTCACTTTGTGATGGGCTTGGAGCCTCCGTGTTTTTCAATGGCTTGGCGGAGTTGGCCCGTGGGGCTGGTCAAATAACTGTCGAACCGGTTTGGGACCGGGTGAATTTGCTTGGGCCTAGGAACCCGACTAGAATTGAGTTCCCTTTTCAAGATTTTTTGAGCTTGGATAAGGACCTGTCACCATATTCGGATTCTGTTAAACGGGTTATTAAGGAGTGTTTTAATGTGAAAGAGGAGTGGTTGGACCGGCTTAAGGAGCTTTTGTATGAAAAATCCGAGTTAAAATTTACCACTTTTGAAGCTTTGGGTGCTTTTATATGGCGAGCAAGGTAAGCCAATTCATAATTTTGTTAGCTATTTCCAACATATTTGTTGTGTCGAATTTATTTTTCAAGCTAATTCAAGTTTAATTATCTGTAATTTTGAACAGGGTTAAAGCCTCTGAAATCTCTGGGGATGAAAAAGTGAGTTTCACATATTCAATGAACATGAGAAAGTTGGTGAAACCTCCATTGCCTGTTGGCTACTGGGGAAATGGCTGTGTCCCAATGTACATTCACCTCACTGCCAGAGAACTTGTGGAGCAACCCGTATGGAAAACAGCTGATTTGATCAAGAAAAGCAAATACAACGCCACTGACGAATATGTTCGTTCCTATATCGACTTTCAGGAGTTGCATTATGAGAAGGGAATCACGGCAGGGCCAAGGGTGAGTGGGTTTACGGATTGGCGGCATTTGGGTCATTCCACCGTGGACTTCGGCTGGGGTGGCCCTGTGACAGTGTTGCCGTTGTCCAGGCACCTGCTGGGGAGTGTTGAGCCTAGTTTCTTCTTGCCTTGCTCTTCAGCTAGTGAAGGGAAGAAAGATGGGTTCAAGGTTTTGGTGCATCTGCAGGAAGATGCATTGCAAGGGTTTAGAGAAGAAATGGACAAGTTAAAGAACATGGATACCCTGTCTTGATTCCATTTTGTTTTGTTTTGTTTTGTGTGGAATGGATGAATAATTCGGATGAGTACAGTGGTCTCTACTTGTTTGATTGTGATGCAACCCATTGCAAATCCTAATTCATATTGAATAATTATTTGTTGCAGAGTCACGACTAACCCAATTGTCCGAGCCTTTATATAGCCATGAATTGAGGATCTTTCTTTATATTTAATAATTGGTGCATAATTGCTAAAATATTGCAATTTCATATATGTTCCAAATGGATAATTATAAAATTGGAAGGGGAAGATTTCTTTGATTTGAGCATGATCTCCGGCTAAAAGGATAATAATTTCGAAGATTACTTCTACATGTTGATTAGCAGGCTGGCCATTTCTTTGTTTTGTTTATTTTATCTACAGAGCTGGTGGTCCTTCCTACATTCGATGATAGTTCTCCCACCCAAGTTGAACGCGCACAATTACAACTACAACTAAACATCTATAAATAAATTTTGAATTGACTACATGGATTTCATTTCGTCATTGTGAATATAAAACTTTGTAAACATCACAAGCACGAAGAATGAGAAGCAAATTCCTGTTGAATCAATTACATATTCATGACTCTTCCTCCACAACTAGCCTGCTGAATTTAAGCCACCCTTTTGACTTGCAAAGCCTCATCAAAAGATACCATCCAATCCCAGCAACAGTCATTAATCCACTCACTAAATACACAATTTTGGTTGCTATAGCCATTATAACCACCAAAAATCCAGCCGGAATTAAGCACATAAGCACCAAAGCCGGCAGCTTCAATGGCACCCTGTAAGGCCTTTTCATTGTGGGGAATTTTCTTCTCAGCCAAAGAAAAGATGCAAATTCCAATAGCATACCCAAACTATACAAGAAATTTGCAGAAGATATGATATCTGTGTAACTCATATAAGAAACACCCAATGCAACGACTGTTGATAACAATATTCCCACCCATGGAGTATTGAACCATTTCGACCTATAGGAGAAAAACTTAGGTAAAAAGGCTAAATTTGCCATCCCCAGAAGCTGATATGCACTGCTACTTAATTGTGCTTCAAATAGTCCAATTGCTGATAAAACAGCACCAATTTCAATCCAGAATTTTAGCCATTTACCTGAAATCATTTGTGCTGCTTCTGCCATAAATCCAGTCTCCCATTCACTCTGATCAACTGAAATAGCTCCAGTTACTGCAATAAGAGGGATTATATAACCTAAACAAGTGAAAATCACAGCGCAAAAAAGTGCTAAAGGGAACGTCTTTTTTGGGTTATCAACTTCCCCTGCCATAGTACTAACATTATCCCAGAAATTCAGGTTCCAAAACAGTGTGTTGAAGAACAAGTTCCAATCTTTTTTCACCCCCTTTTGGCCTAAACTGATCCATCTACGGGGGTGAATTTGGGGGATTGCTATCAATGACATAAGAATAAATGGCGCAAGTGAAACAATTCCCAAAATAATTGCAGCATAACCGACTATATTGAGCCCTGTGTAATTAAGAAACGAAAGGAGCAAAGTTGAAACCAAGATTGCAAGCTTTCGAGGTAGTCCAGAAGAGAAAATGGGAAAAATCCTTTTCAAATAATCAATACACAAAGCTGGAAAGGCTGCTATGTTGATTACACCACTGAGGAATTTCCATGTGCCCATTAGGGATCCCCAGAAGGGACCAAAAGCCCTGTCGGCCCATATAACAAAGCCGCCGTTACCGGGGAAAGCGGTGGAGAGCTCGGCGGTGATTAGAGCCTCCGGTATACTCCAGATGAAAGGGAAGATGAGAAAACCAAGAATTGCAAATAAAGGGCCTGCAGCTTGAACTGCAGGCTCTTCACCATATGGTCCACCGGCAACTTCGAAATAGATGAGGAAGATTAGAGGGATGAGAGTGAGTTTTTTGGGGCTGACAGTGGTGGGCCTGGTGGTTGTGGGGAGCTCTTCGGCGGAGTTATGCGGTGGTGACATCACTGACATGGTGGTGGTTATGGTGGATGGATGTGGCTGTTGCCCTGATTCCATGATACACTCAAACTTTGAGAGTGATTTTTTCAAGAAATAACTGAAGAAGAATCTTGGGAATCTTTTTTGAGAAATTTTCAGCAATCACTCGGATTACCAAATCAATTGATAAGAAGGAATTTATAATATTTATAATTGAAGAATTGTCGGGATCATGGTTTGGTAGCGTGGGGCCTTACAGTTGAAACTTTGCGTTAGAAAATGTGAAGAGTTCAAATCTGACTTTGATTTTATTGGTTCTATTGAACAATTTGCAATCAGCATTAATTAGGGCTACAGCATAAATTATTGCTAAACCTTTGTTGTGCTAAAAAAAACTCTATTGGTGCGTGCGCTTCACGAAAGCTTTGGACCTTTAGTTTAAGTTAAAGTGGTCACTCTAATAAATGTAGGGTACACGTTTTAAATTATGTCCATGGTAGGAATTAAAATTTAAATATTTATCAAAGTTAAAGTCAATAATTAATTTTAACCACATATTTCATAGGACCCACAATTTTTCAACCACACATTTCATCAACTTTTATCAAAATCTAATTGGAGAGGGATGATGGAATTCAAAGCTCACTCGGTTACTGCATTTAGGGCTGTCCATGGGTCGGTTCGGTTCGGTTCGGTTCTGAAGATACCCGAACCGACCCAAAACTTTCGGGTATTTAATAAATGGACCCGTCGGGTCCAAATATAATTATGGAACCGTTCGGGTTTGTCCACCGGCAACTTCGAAATAGATTAGGAAGATTAGAGGGATGAGAGTGAGTTTTTTGGGGCTGACAGTCGTGGGCCTGGTGGTTGTGGGGAGCTCTTCGGCGGAGTTATGCAGTCGTGACATCACTGACATGGTGGTGGTTATGGTGGATGGTTGTGGCTGTTGCCCTGATTCCATGATAGACTCAAACTTTGAGAGTGATTTTTTCAAGAAATAACTGAAGAAGAATCTTGGGAATCTTTATTGAGAAATTTTCAGCAATCACTCGGATTACCAAATCAATTGATAAGAAGGAATTTGTAATAATATTTATAATTGAAGAATTGTAGGGATCTGGTTTGGTAGCGTGGGGTCTTACCGTTGAAGTTTTGCGTTAGAAAATGTAGAGAGTTCACATCTGACCTTGATGTTATTGGTTCTATTGAACAATTTGCAAACAGCATTCATTAGGGCTACAATATAAATTATTGCTAAACATTGTTGTGCTAAAAAAACTCTATTGGTGTGTGCGCTTCACGAAAGCTTTGGACCTTCACTCTAATAAATGTAGGGTACACGTTTTAAATTATGTCCATGGTAGGAATTAAAATTTAAATATTTATCAAAGTTAAAGTCAATAATTAATTTTAACCACATATTTCACAGGACTCATAATTTTTCAACCACACATTTTATCAACTTTTATCAAAATCTGCTAAAAATCTAATTTTAGTCCCCACCAAATAGGGATAGCTTAATTGGAGAGTGATGATGGAATTCAAAGCTCACTCGGTTACTGCATTTTCCGAGGATTCAACCAAAAATCCTCGTACCATTCACTGTCAAACAGTAACTAGAGTGTCTCCAACGAAGAAAGCATGGAGTATGCGGTCTTGAAGTTTTCCTCGTTATTTTATGATGCATTGCTTACACTTCCTTGTTGGCCGGGGAAAATGCTTCTTTCGGAACTTGTATCGAACGGAAGTGAAGTGTTTGGAAGGTTTAAAAAAGGTCCAATGTGAAGCCTACAGTCAAATATGCTTCAGGAGATAGTGCTGTTAAACACCAAATGACCTTATATTATTATTTGGATGATGGGATTTCTCGTGTAATAAAGCGTCCGTTGCATTACAGCATTTAAAGCAATGGCAATTGGCTCAAGAGAGAACAAGTCAAACAATTTAAGTCTTTCTTACACCTGTATATAATACTCGAAAGATACAGATTACGAGTAGATATGGAGAGTGAAATCTCTTTCATGTCAGTCTGTTCACTAGATAAACGCTAATTGGTTTCGAGTGTCTGCTAGGGCTGAAGACCAGAAAAGTTTAGGATAGGTAGCAGCTGCCAGTCGGGGCCAAGTTCTACCATAATCATTCGGGAGAGATTGCTTATTGAAAAGCGACCACAAGCTTATATTAATCGTATAATCTCGAACTTGCATATATAGAACACTATAAGATGTCGTTTTACAACTAAAATAGGCAAGGCTCCAGGAGATAAATAGATTAGGACGTTCAAAAAATGATAAATATACTCATCTCTACAAACCCAATGCATGTCGTGTGAAATTACAAGGGATAATGGAGAAACTTAAAACCTAGATATTATCCTTCTACACCAGAAGAAACGAGAGCAAATGCCTCGTCTATGGCAGCTCTTTCGCTATTGGTTCCACAAAAAGATCTCATCACTGGCATCTTCCCCAACATCCCATCATCAATACAAAAAAAATATATATATTTAAAATTTCAAGTGTGCATTACACGCATAAAGCAGCTATCAGGCATCCGTCCCGCAGAATTCAGCTACAGCAGCATCAAAGGAAGTAATCTGGTGTTCTGCGGGTTACATCTGGCTCACCCCTTCTAGGAGCCGGGTCAAACTGCAACAGGAACCAGCTAAGACCTCAATATATACACCAACAACCATAATAAAGGGAAAATTGCAGCATTGTCCTCAATGTATGACCCGACTAGCAAGTTAAATATCCATTAAATCGTCACATGGTACTTGTAAAAACATGACTCACGTCAAATTTCTAGCCACCAGCCCAAATTGGGAAACAAAATCTAGCTTGGTAAAGTCGGGAAATGTGTCACGTGACTATTTAATGAAAATTTGGGCAGTTTTGTCCAAGTACTTATTGTGCAACTACAGTAAAAAGTTTTGGGTCAACTTTCTCCTCTTTCAAGGTACTCAGGAAATGGGTAGGGAGACGAATAAGACAATTTTCCCATAACAACCACAGCTTAACAGTTATATGCACGCAGCAAAAGAGATAAGACCTGAATGAATGTGTGCCCTTGGCAGTCATCGACTTCAAGGATAGATGCCATGTTCCCACATCGATAACAATAATTTGGTGCACTGAATATGGTAACCACCTTTTGGTCCTACAAGCAAGAATGCACAAGAACCAGAAATTGTAATATCAAATCAGCTAACAAAGCCTTATCCAACAAGAAACAGTTGTACTTCAGAGAATAAATTACATGAGCCCAGTTAAATCCCTCCATAACCAGCTGGTGAGCTCTCGCAATAAGCTTCAAATTATTTGCATGGTTAAACTGCTCTGATATGTCCTGCAAATTGAAGTGCATACAAAAGCCACCTTAATTTTCTGACAGTACAAAGGTTAAGCTGAAAGTGAGAATGTGTAGCAATGTTAAGTACTTGGCCAAATGTATATCCAGCACCCCTGGGTGAGATACCCCAACCGCACCGATCATCAGGATCAGACCATAAAAGATCACACATGGGACCCTCGTGAGGAACTTCTTGCACACGGTCAAAATTACGTATATTGTCCAGAGTCTCAATGGACGGTGACAATCCACCATGCAGGCAAAAGATTTCTGACTCAACCTAGAAGTTAAAGAATGACATACTAAATCAACACGAGAATGCCACATTTAATGCTTGTGTGGAAGTGATTTTTTGGATATCACTTTTCTCCACTCGTGTGCATGTGTTCTCTAGATAGGGAGATCCTGAAAAGTAATTTCACTCTCTTTTCCTGGGCAATGCTATTGCTAAAATATAACAAGAATCCTGTAAAAGATGTCACCGCAACAGTAATAAACTAATAATACTAAGCATAAAACATAAGGAATTTAACTGACCAAGGCGGTAAGAGGAAAATAGTCAAATAAATCTGTAAAGATCTTCCAGACATTGGCATTACCATATCTGTACAATGCAAGAAGATGATCAACACCTTTAATCATCTTACACATGCAAGCCAGATACAAAGGAAATTAAGAGAAGAAAGAGAAAACAGGAAAGAACTCACTTTCTTAGGCATTCATCATAAAATCCATAAACTTGAGTAATCTGCAAAAACAGAAAGAAAGAAACACTTTTCAGCACTTAATATCCTTGCTACAATTTACCAACTGAATGATTCAAGAACCTCATAACACAGTACCTAAAAACGTTATAACTATTAAGAAAAGAACAACCATTATGTTCAACAGAATGTCTGATGATAAATATTTATTGCTATTGCTGTTCACAGCTATGAATTTGGTTTCAAATAATGAAAACAAATCCATGGTGGATGAAAAATGCGCTGCATAGTACCCAGTGAGAAAATTTAGGATATGACAAGTAATATATGAAGTCTAACCTGGCGACTTTCATGATTTCCCCGAAGAATAGTAATTCGTTGAGGATAACGCACTTTCAATGCCACCAAGAGCTGAAAATTTTTGTTCAAGAAAAAAAGAAAGGTAATGTATGAAAAGAAAGCAGTACATAATCACACAGGCCCAGAGAATTACAGTCTAATGTAAGCAAAACCGAACCATGTTACCCCCAAAGTCCAAATACGGGGCTTCTGATAGATATCCACTCACCGGAGTTTAATATACTTTTATAGATTTATTGTCAAAATATTAGAATTTTTTGGATATCACTTTTCTCCACTCATGTGTGCATGTGTTCTCTAGGTAGGGAGATCCTGAAAAGTAATTTCACTCTCTTTTCCTGGGCAATGCTATTGCTAAAATATAACAAGAATCCTGGAAAAGATGTCACCGCAACAGTAATAAACTAATAATACTAAGTATAAAACATAAGGAATTTAACTGACCAAGGCGGTAAGAGGAAAATAGTCAAATAAATCTGTAAAGATCTTCCAGACATTGGCATTACCATATCTGTACAATGCAAGAAAATGATCAACAACTTTAATCATCTTACACATGCAAGCCAGATACAAAGGAAATTAAGAGAAGAAAGAGAAAACAGGAAAGAACTCACTTTCTTAGGCATTCATCATAAAATCCATAAACTTGAGTAATCTGCAAAAAAAGAAAGAAAGAAACACTTTTCAGCACTTAATATCCTTGCTACAATTTACCAACTGAATGATTCACGAACCTCATAACACAGTACCTAAAAACGTTATAACTATTAAGAAAAGAACAACCATTCTGTTCAACAGAATGTCTGATGATAAATATTTATTGCTATTGCTGTTCATATCTATGAATTTGGTTTCAAATAATGAAAACAAATCCATGGTGGATGAAAAATGCGCTGCATAGTACCCAGTGAGAAATATTAGGATATAACAAGTAATATATGAAGTCTAACCTGGCGACTTTCATGATTTCCCCGAAGAATAGTAATTCGTTGAGGATAACGCACTTTCAATGCCACCAAGAGCTGAAAAATTTTGTTCAAGAAAAAAAGAAAGGTAATGTATGAAAAGAAAGCAGTACATAATCATACAGGCCCAGAGAATTACAGTCTAATGTAAGCAAAACCGAACCATGTTACCCCCAAAGTCCAAATACGGGGCTTCTGATAGATATCCACTCACCGGAGTTTAATATACTTTTATAGATTTATTGTCAAAATATTAGAATCGGCTTCATTAAGGTATAAAAACTGCCTCAAGAATTGTGTGTGAGTTATTATTCACAAAGGATCACTGTTGAGAAAATAACTAAAAGTGTACAAGCACGGACATAAAGAGAAATAACAAAGGCTAATTAACGATTATAGTAAACCGTTAGCACCACTCTGACTCAGGAAGAAAATACAAGAGCATCTTCTTGAAAAATATAGACAAACTATAAAATATATAAAGAATCAGGGAGAAAGGGGATAACCTTGGTTCAGAATGAAACATAAGTAGATCAGCAGATAGAGCAAAAATTAAAGAAAGAGAAGATGCTCAGAATATATTGAGAATGAAATAGAGAGTATCGTCCTCAGTCATTATTGAATTAGCAAGATTATATAGTACCATCATCACACCTTCTGTTTCAGATTAATGAGAATATTTTTTGTGTACTACATATGGATTTTGGGGGCCAATAATATTCTGCAATGTAATTATTTCTAAAAACAGGACATATCTCACCACATCTTGGAAGCTTTCCACTCAAAAAGGAAGAAAAAGAAAGTACTAATTGATGCACAGTTATGGCAATCAATTACCATACAAGAGCTTCCACAGCAAAATATGAGTAATAACATGATTCAACATAACTCACCGTTACCGTTTCAACTGAATAGTACCCACGATCAACATAATCTCCCATAAACAAATAATTTGTATCTGGACACTGCCAAAGAAACCATGCTAAATATATTCAACTGAAGAAAATACAAGGGCATCTTCTTGAATAAATATAGACAAAATGTAACACACTGGGAAGCCCATTAGCACATACCTTTCCACCAATCTTAAAAAGCTCCGCAAGATCATGGAATTGTCCATGAATGTCACCACAAATGGTCACAGGGCTCTTCACAGGCTGCAATTATTGAAACAAAGAACCAATTGAGCTATTTAGCACCGTTTAAGGTCACCAAGAACTAAAATTGTTTTGGGCAGAAGGCGCATATCACAAGCACTAAGGCTATTAAAATTTCAATTCTTGAAAGTAGTTATCTATACTACATTAATTAGTAATTCTACAAGAAATGCATTCTCCACCCGCCTTGGGTAGGGTGGAGAGGAAATAATAAGGCTTTGAAACAGAACCTGAAACGGAACCTCTATTGGCGATACAGAAAATGATTGTGTTTCACAATAAATCGGTATGTATGGTAAAAACGAAGCTCAAAGGACTAAAATGTTTCTATTAAAAAGATCATTTCTTTTTTGAATAAAAGAGTTTCATCAAAAGTAATGGAGTGTGCTGTAAAGAAACAGTTTAAGAATAAAAGAGTTTCATCAAAAGTAATGGAGTGTGCTGTAAAGAAACAGTTTAACTTCTGTCTTATACAACTGCTTGTAGAGAAGGATACGATAACTCGAGCTATGAACCATAAAAATAATGCTTAAAAGAAACAAATGGCCCTCTATCATGAGAAACAGAACAACAGCCAAGTTAATTTACACGGAAAAATTTCAACATCAATGAAATTCTATTGCATCGCTAACTCATAAATACACACTTTAAACATTGGCAGCAATCATGAAAATGAAGAAAATTAGCACACCTGCACATTGCTCTCTTCCATTAGAATCTCCTTTGCCTTTTCACATAATGCCCTCACCTAGAAAGATTAACAAAACAAGATGATGAAAGCCTCTTTTGACCACGATCAAAAGAAAAATACAATAGCTGTAGCAAAACTATAAATTACACTGTTGTCACAAAATCACAGAGAACTAATTGGCCATTTAAATTATTTGTTTATCACCAGGTTACATATAATGGGGTTACATTTCCAAAATAGAAAAAAGACAAAAAAGGCAGGGTTGAAGACTCCCCTAAGCATCGCATGGTTTGCATCTCTACATCACTGTTCTATTTAAAATAAAATTCTTCTAAAAAAAAGGTTCAAAATATTACCAAACTGACATAATAATAATAATAATAATAATAATAATAATAATAATAATAATAATAATAATAATAATAATAATGTATTTGACAGCTGTCAGCTGAGACATAGTAGATTGAAATCAAAGGAATGTGGACATCAATCAAATCACAAATGACCTTAGTGCTCACATTAAATGCTGGATCGATAGTAAAAGTTCAAATATAGGTAGAAGTTTTGAGTTCATTATAAAGCACTGTGGAAACTTATTTTTCCATTTTTCCTAACTGTTTTCGTACTCAAATTATCAAGCCCACTTGGATTGACTTGGGCTTTCCTCTGAAAATCCATAAATGAAAATGTATCCTTCTATATTTCTAACATAAACAGCAATTATAATTTCTTTCCATTTCCGTTTTCAGTAAGCATCATGAGATAACTACTTTAAGAAACATTTGAAATATCCATTACGAGTCTTACGACTGGTAAGATGAGTTATAAGTCCTAAATTTACCACTTTTACATTACAATGAATATCTAGAATTATAAAAAAATTGAAGGAAAGAAAAAAAAAAGTTGAATTTGGGGGGACAAAATATAAAAAATTTCACTTGAATGTAGTGATTTCCGAGAGACATCCTAAAGGACCTCAAAGTAACGGGAAAATGACAATCTCATGATCGGATCTGTTACCGAAATCCAGATAGTAATTCTATTGTCACACTTCCACAGCCTCAAATAATCCTTACCTTCAGATCACTCGTTCTAGAATTAACATTAAACACAGAAAAACCGAAAAAATCAGATCGCAAATTTCAAGGATTTATAAAAAAAAAAATAGGAACTTGAATATAACATAATTGCAAATTCCTAAAAAAAATGGAGACCTCTTGTTCCAACAAGGGTTTGCACTGCATGAGCTGATCGATCTGCCCGTCGAGGTTCCCATGAGCTCCGCCACTCGCCGACGCCGATGCATCCATCACACTCTCACTCTATAGATTTTTTATTCTTCAAGATTCTCCAAGCGGCGTCGTTTTACTTGGTTTTGCTAAAGAGGCGTAGCGAGAATGAGAGTGGTGGTGGGGAAACCAACAGTGGAGTGGAAGTAGCGAATTTAAAAAAATAAAAATAAATCAATGTTGAGCGGTTCTCTTTCTTTTCAATTTAATTTTATGGCAAAAACTGGCTTTACGTACTCATCCAATTATCTAAAATCTCGTATGGACTCCACTGTTTCAACAATGCGTTTTTTTCGAAACTCATTCAATTATCTAAGTGATTGCTTCGATTGGGTTGTTAATTCTTGTAAGTGTTTTCAAAATTGAACCTGATGCTGCCAAAAATCTACACTTGTGAATCTTCGAGCTTAAAGACAAGGAATGAACACAAACAGGATACCAAAGACTTGGAACAAATGTATCAATGATCTGCATTTAGGATATCCGAGCTTAACAATCGAGAATGAGCACGAACAGAATCTTTAAGACCTAAAACAAAGGCAATGAGGTGTGGTATTGTCGCTAGCAGGAAAATATAAGCGTAGGTAGTACATTCCTAATAGATAGCCTCGAACACTCTCCTACTTGAATAAAGATCTAATGCTTTATATTTATATAGGTAGTTAGTACATTCCTAATAGGATAAGTAGTGCACTCCTAGTAGGATAAATCAGTTGGACATCTTTATCTGATTAAAGAGCTATGAAGTGCTTGTGAATCTCTACATACCTAAAAGTTGTAATTTGATTGGAGTTGTGAAATAGGATGTTTGGGTAAGCATACAACTCTAGTTGTAGAGTTCTATTAAATTAGGTGAGCTGATAGAAAGAGAGGAAAAATGATAGTGAGGGACACAAGATATTTAAGAGCTTCAAGCCCAAGCTCAAGCTTACTCATACAAGCCCGATGATGTTCTAGTCCTAGAGAGAGCTCGAGGTTATCATAACCTCAAAACCGACCACATAAACTCGAGGATGTTATGGCCCTAGGAGAGTGTTCGAGGTTATCGTGACCTCGAGTGATTACGCCCAAAGAATAATGCGGTAATTGTAGCACAATTTTGGGGTGTCGTATTCACATGGAGATGGAAGAATATTTAAAGGATCAAAGAGGTTAAATTGTTCTCTCAAATGTGTAATAAAATTTAATGTTGAAAGGTGAAATTAAAATCAATAATTCGAAGCAGTGAAGCGTTGGAATTCCCTCAATTGGATTGGATCAATCATATGAATTATTCATTTNTATTGGAACAAGATCAAAGATCGACCATATACGTCAAGCATAAGACAATAATCAATCCACCAATAAAGTGAAATTGAGATTAGAATTCAACAACTAGTTTAATGTAACGATAGAAGAAGCATGACTGATTTTATGAATGATATAATAATTGTTAAACCAATCTCAATAATAAATAATTGGAATGAAAACTCAATAAATAGTTTGATTGATCAATGGAAAAAGCATGGCTGAATCTATGAAAAATCTTGTAAATATTAAACCAGTTTCAATATAAATTCAAGAGAATGAAAATCTAAATTCTAGAATTGTTTGACAATGAAAAGATCAAATTAAATGAATAAAAGATATGAAATCACTAATTCCAACCGAGTTTTTTCGTAACTTCACCAAGGGTTTAGTTCTCCATGAGTTTCTTGAGCCAAAAAGGAGAAAAATGGTATATGGGGGTCTCCTCCATATGTACTCTGCTATTAAGTATTTGTAAGAGTCAGAAATTGGATGAAAATCACGTCCAAATTGGTTTTCAAAAGAGTTCTAATTGAATAAAGAAAGTTGCTTTCGCGAGCGGATTTTTTGTCTCTACACAGTAGTCAGTAATTTAGTTATAACTTTCTCTTTCAATATGCAATTTAGACGATTAAAAATGAGTTAGAAAGATAACTCAAAGAGATGAAACTTTGTTAGAAATAGATCTTTTTCAATTCGGACATTTATTATGCCAAAAATGGGTCTCAAGTTTAGGCTAAAAATCTGGAATATATCTTGTGCGAATTGGAAATTGATTTGATAATATTCCATTCCTTTTTGACTTCTAATTGCTTCCAATCGACCCTTAGCACTCTCAAACCTTCATCGTGAGCCCCGACGTAATTTTTTAGTATTTCACTTTAGTCCCTAAACTTTCACTTTCTTCCATTCTGGTCATTTTTCAATTGTTTCTCCTTATTTCCGCTACATTCATCACTTGTCCTGCAAAACATGAATTGCATAAAATTAAGTTATATTCCAACATATTAATCAACAATTGCTCATATTTTGACAGTAAAATAAGTATGTAAAGCGTACTTATCATTGAGCATGAGGTCATGGGTGGTCGGGTCATACAAAAATTATACACATCATAGCCCCCTGTATATCCACGTCCGCAGCTCGTGCGCAATGTGAAAGTTTCTGGAATGCGATGCTCAAGTACGTCGAGTTCAAAAATAAGCATGTTCATGACAAAGAATATGCATGCTCAAACCAAGAAATATGCATGCTCATGACTTGAAGTAAGTTCATGACAAGGATTAGGCATGAGCATGCCAACTTGTAGGCATCCTCATGCCAAGAGGTGGACATGCTCATACTTAGAAATAAGCATGCTCAAACTAAGAAATATGCATACTCTACAGGTAGGCTTGCTCACGCCTAGAAATAGGCATGCTCAAACCAAAACTTTGGCATGCTCATGCCAAGGAATAGGCATGTTCATGCCAAGAGATAGATGTGCTCGTGCTAAGGATTAGACATGTTCATGCCACGGAATTAGCACAATCATGCCAAGTATTAGGCATGTTCATGCCAGAGGTGGGCGTGTTCAAGTCAAGGATTAGACATGCTCATGCCTAGAAATATGAATGTTCAAGCCAAGGATTAGGCATGCCCATGCTAAAGAATAGGCATGCTCAAGCTAAGGATTAGACATGCTCTTGCCACGGAATTGACATGCTCATGCCAAGTATTAGGCATGTTCATGGCAAGAGGTGGACGTGTTCGTGCCTAGAAATAGGCATTCTCATGCCTAGAGATAGGCTTCCCCAAGTCAAGGATTGGGCATGTTCATGACAAAGATTAGACATGTCCATGCCAAAAGGTGGGCATGCTCATACCAAGGATTATGTGTGCTCATGCCAAGAGGTGGGGCGTGCTCAAGCCAAGAGATTGGCATGATCATGCCAAGGAGTAAGCATATTCATGACTAAAAATAGGCATGCTCATTCCAATAAATAAGCATGATCGTGTCATAGAATAGGCATGCTCATGCCGATAGGCCACCGAGCACATAGATCTAGGATAGTATGTATTGACCATATTAAAAATTTAAAATAAAAAGGGTTGCACCCGACCTTGTTTTATAGCCTTCGAGGTCATAAGGTTAAGGTATTTGTACGAGGCAAAGCTTGATGTGCTTGCTTGGGACAAGACTTAATATGCTTATTCGGGGCAATGCTTGATGTGCTTGCATGGGACAAGCCTTGAGTTGCTTGCTCGGGGCAAGGCTTTATGTCCTTGCTCGGTACAAGGTTTTATGTGTTTGCGCATGGCAATGCTTAGAGCTTGATGTGCTTGCGCGGGATAAGGTTTGAATTTCTTGCTCGGGGTAAAGCTTGAATTGTTTGCTCGGGGTAAGGCTTAATTTTCTTACTTGGGGCAAGACTTGAGATGCTTGCTCGGAACAGGCAAAGCTTTACATGCTTGCGCGGGGCAAAGCTTCAGATTCTTGCTTAAGATAAGTCTTAAGATGCTTGATCGGAACAAGGCTTGGTGTGCTTGCGAAGGGAAAGACTTTATGTACTTGAGCGGAGCAAGGCTTAAGATACTTGCTTAGGGCAAGACTTTAGCAGCATTACAAATGAAAAAATTGACTATATTGGGATAAGATCCCGACGGCTACTTAATTGAATGTAACTTGACCTAACTAGAAATAAAATATGAGCACACAGGCTCGACCAATCAAATAATAAAAATAAGTCGAGTATGAAAGTCGAGGAAAAAACATGTAAGACCATATACTTTAGATGTATGGCATTGTCCAACTAGACAATGACGTTGGTCGTGTCTGCTGTTGGTCAATTACTGCCCCGACTTCTGAGGTATTCCCATTGTTATGATCATTCCTCGGACGCTTGTCCTGATCGGCATAAGCTCCTAGGAAATCCCTCTTGATTAGAGATTCAATCTCACGCTGCAAGGCTTTGCATGTCTTTGTGGTATGCCTTTGTTCACGATAAAAGTCACAATACTTGCTCTTGTATCTAGTGTTAGGAGGGGACCTCATCCTTGAGGGCCATTTAACTTCCTTGAGGTCCTTGATCTCCATCAAAATGTTGGACCTGGAGGTGTTCATATATCCGAATAGCGTTGGTAGTATGTCCTACTTTTGCTTACCTTGAGCAAGTTCCTGTCGTAAATTTGACTCATGTTGTCTCTTATGCTAAGGCTTCTTAGTAGTCGGGCTAGGCTTCCTTGGGTACATTGTTTTCTCCATGTTTATGTATTTTTCTTCTCGGGTAAGAAGCTTAGTCACTGAATTTGACGGAATTTTTGACAATGACATCTTAAATGCTTCACATCTTATTGCATATGTAAGGGTAGAGACATTTGATATAATATGTAAGGCGGGTATCTATAGCCTTTCTACATTAAATCATGTCATTAAATCACGTAGGGGTTCATTTTTCCCTTGGCAAAGCTGCATGAAAGTTGTGGTGTTCTTCCTGATGTGTTTACTAATTGCAAAGAAAACAAAGAACTTGTTAGCCAAATCTGAGAATGAGGTAATGAAATTGGGCTCTAGTGTAGACAACCAATCCTTAGCAGCGCTAGTTAGGGTTTGAGGAAAGGTTTTGCACATCACTGGGTTTGGTGCGATATGTAAGTTCATGACATCCGTATATACATTGAGGTGATTGATGGGGTCCCATTGTATTTCTTTATGCCGGAGGGGTATTTGAATCTGTCCGATAATAGGTAGGACA